CTACCATACCATAGGAAACCTACCGAACAGAGGGATATTCCTTCTTAGATTACTAATAAACTATTTACCCATGCTATAAAAGGTGGCCAGGAAAACAGAATTTTTAAGTCCTAAGCTACACAAAATGAACTCAACCACTCATTTCCTCTGCGGACCTATAGAACAAAGGCTGAGATTGCTAACGTGCCTTTAACGCTGCGTACCCATACCAGACCATGAAAGGAAAACAGGAGAACAAAGTCTTAAAGCTGTAATTCATAGAAACTAAGAATGATGTATAGACTGACATATAGAATTCCTTGAACACTTGGGATCTGTCTCTCTCATTCTCTGATATGTCTATGGAGAGCTATTCCATCTCTAATAAACTTTCCTTTAGTCTCTCTCTGTCTCATTATCTGTCTGAGAGGAGACCATGCTATGTCAATGGAGCATTATTCCTTCGCTAATTAACTTTTCCTTTTGTCTCTAACTCTGGCATGAGCTTGAATTCCTTCCTGCACCCTGTCAAGTACCCTTCCTCTCTGGTGCAGGACTTGAGTCCCCCTGGGCGAGGTAGAGGGAAGAGGGATTCGCCTCGTCCTGCATCACCTGCAGTCTTAAGTCTCTGTTGGGCTCTAAACAAGGCCGAAGGAGAGTATCTGAGGAAGTCTCTGGGACTAAAAAGTGACCTCCATAATAAATGACTACCATTTTCACAGAACATTCCTCCTCTTATGTCAGAGGAGTCCCCCAACACATTCAGCAGATAATAGACTTTTCTTTTCTTGCCTCATCCAGCAGCCCTCTGGGAGCCCCTACCTCTGGACATCTCGATCCTAGAGTCTTTCTCCTGTAGGTGTGAAGATGATTGCAGCCCCTTTCCCCAAAAGGTGTTATCACTGCCTGGGCTTCTTGGGACCTCAGAAATGGCTGGGTAGGTTGGATGGGCTCTTGGAGTTGATATTAGACTGGCCAGAGATGCAGTTAATATTTTAGGTTGGGTTAGGTCAAGCTTCAGTCAGACACAACAGATGTGGCTTAAAACAACTCAGAAAAAAATACTGAGGGATTCTTTTCTCTTTCATTCTATTCTAGCTTCAAAACCTTGATGAGGCTTTTGTAGGGTCTGAGAGATTCTTACTGTTCCTAGAGGTTGCGGAGATGGCTTTGAGAAATGCAGTAGAGGAGGCGGTAACAGAGAATAGGTGGCTTCACCTGTCCCCCAGCCAGCTGGCCCCAAGTTTGAGGGTGCCAGGCAGGAAGAGCTCTGAAGGTTGCAGGTGGCAAGGTGACAGTATATGAGGCTGAGTGTTCTAGGATGATCTGGTGCTCAGAGAATGGCCCTGAGAGCTGCCCAGGCCTTGGTCACGTGGGAGAGGTCTGTGGAGGTGAGGATGCAGGCTAGGAAGAAGTGTGAGGGGCTTGGCTATTTTACGGTGTGTATACTATGCAAACATGAACATGACCTTAAACAAGGGCTAGTGTTCTGGACTTCTGGGGCTGGAAGGAAGCTTTAGCCGTCAGTGAATTTGAACTTCCAGTTTATGTTAGGAAACAGGTAAGGCCCAGGGTGGGCATAGAACCCAAGGTCTTCACCCCCAATTCATGCACTGTTCCAAGTCTTTAGGAATGGTGAGCCATTTGACGACTTTCTGAGAGGAAAGAAGGTGAGGCAGGTAAGGTGGCAGCATTTATTATCAACTCCCTTAATTTCTGAGACTATCAGTGGTGTGAGTCTCCTTCTGTGGCTCATAGCTCCTCACTCCCATCTCACCTGGGGCACAATGCTTCTTTTCAGATCTACTCAGACACATGTTACTTCTACGTTGGATTCCAAGCAAAATTAGGCTTATAGATTAACTCATGGATACAGGCCCGAGGCTTGAAAGAAATCTGGCTATAAGCGGGTAATGGAATGAGGGGCCAGCTTAGGGGAGAGATTCTTCTCTCCCTCCCAGGAGTCTCAGGAGACTAGTTCAGAATCTGGGTCACGTTCCTCCCCTCGGTGTCTCCTGCCTTTCTTCTGCCAATTGACTTGTCAGGTCCTGGGCTTCAAAAGGAAGATGCACACAAATAGAGGGTTTTATGTGCTCTATTTCCATAGGTAACTGGGCTATATGTTTATATCCTGATGCTGCTGCTGAATATTTGGGACACCCTCCCTCTTGTGGTTCCCTTTCTTTCTCTGCCTAGTCTGAATTCAAATGAGCCTCTTTCTTCCCCTCTGCTAAACCCTTTTTTCCCTGTCAACTCAAATGCATGTCCTTGGAGAGCTCACCTGCTCCAGAAAGCCCCCTTGAATGGACCACTTATGCTTCTTCTACTTGTTGTGAAGTGGGAAGGCCTTGCACCAGGTGTTAGGACCCTTAAATGCTGATCTTTGTCTTAAGGGGAATTATTGTGTGACATTAGTCATTTTTCCTCCCAAGGTTGATTTCTGCATCAGTTAAAGGAGGTGGAATGAGATTATCTCTACTATCTCTCCAGCTCTGATGAAAAGAACCCTGTAGATGCTGCCAGGCTCATTCCTTAAGCTTCCCAGCCTAAGGGGGAATTTGGGACACAGAATCAGGAAAGAGGCTTAGAGGCACTGTGTGTGGACAGGCACGAGCACCTGAAGGTCCGTGTTGTTTTCATCCTATTAAATAAATAAATATTTAAATTCAAAGATCTAATTGGCTTTATTAAGTGATTTGTGAATTGGGCAGCATCCCATCTAGCAAGTAGAGAGGAGCTCCTCGTCCTATTTCATTTTAGTTCAGTGATTGTCTGTGAAACAATGATTGTAAGCAAGGTACTGCACTTGGCTATTTTGAGGATACCAACGCTCATAACACACTGCATCCCTGAGGGAGCTTACAGTTCAGTTGAGGGATGGATAAGAAATTTACAATTTGCTGTTAATACAAGACAGCATGTAATTAAGAGCTCCTCTGGGAGGGGAGATAGTGCATTGAAATCCCCTGGGACTTCATTCAAAATGCACATTCCTGGTTCCAATAGTTCTCCTCCCTTGAGTTTCCATTATAGATAATTGAAGTGGAGCCTGGAAATACACATTTTTTAACAAGCTTCTAGGTGACTCTGATGCTGGTGACGCAAGGGTCAGGTTTTGAAAAGTACTAAGGGAGAATAAGGGGGCAGGCTCTGTTGTGGGTTCAATTCTTGGCATCTTAAAGTTTAGTAGGCATTCAATAAAAAATTGATGATCAGATGAAAAATGTGTGACCTTGGGCATTTTTTTTTTTTTTTTTAGCAACTCTGAGCCTTGATTTATCTGTTTGTAAAGAAGTAACAGTAATATATCTCCCTCATAGGGTTTCTGGGAATGTTATATACAATAATAAATGATAAATGTTTATTATATAGGACCTGTGCCATCATGAGCACGCAGTACTGTAGGCCTCTTTTTCTCCTTTTCCCCTGTCCCTCTCCCTCTTCTTCTCTTCCCCCTCCTCCACCTCTTCTCTCTCCTCCTCCTCCTCCTCCTCCTTCCCATTATTAAAGTTATAGACAGTACTATGAGACTGTGGAAGGCTTCATGGATGGGATGATTTTACCATATGTGGGATTAATTAAGAAATAATAATAATTTTACATAAACTTTTCCAGAAGATAGAATACGAAGGGACACTTTTCATCTTGTCTTATCAAGTAAGCATTACCCTGATACCAAAATCTGAGACATTATAAGAAAAGAAACTAAAGACCAAATCCTTCATGAACATAGATTTGAAAATTCTCAACAAAATATGAGCAAATTATAAAAAGGATAATACATTATGGTTGGGTGAAATTTATCCCAGAAATGAAAGGCTAGTTCAACAGTCATTGAGTCAATTAATATATCCACTATATTATAGAAGAAAAAACATATAATCTCAATAGATGCAAAAAAAATTGACAAAATTTAACATCCATTCAGGAATTTAAAAAATACTCAGCAAACTAGGAGTAGGAGGGAACTGTCTTAGACTGATAAAGGATATCTACAAAATCAACAGCTAACATAATGGTGAAAGCCTTTATGTTTTTTTCCCTTAAGATTGGGAACAGGCAAGGACATCTGCTGTTACTACTCTTACTTGTCATCATACTAAAATTCCTAAGCAGTGCAATAATACAAAAAAAAAAAAATACAGATTGAAAGGAAGAAATAAAACTGTCTTTATTCACATAATGTGATTGCCAATGCAAAAGATCCTAAAGATTCTACACAAAAGCTACTAGAACTAACATGTGAGTTTAGCAAGGTTACAGGCTACAAACTAGCAATAAACAATTGGAAATTAAAATTAATAAGACAGTATCATTTACAATAGCACCAAGA